TTTTTTAAAGGAGTGATGAAAAAAAAAATTTTTAAAGTGAGGTACGAAAAAAAAAAATTTTTTTTTAAAAGGGGGGTGACGAAAAAAGAAGAAAAATTTAGAAAAAATAACAAAAATAAGACAAGAGAAAGGAGAAGAAAAGGAAAGACAGAAAGGAAGATCGGAAGATCAAAATGTCTGAAACGCAATCTAAAGTTGATAGCAGAACACATTTCCGGCATAAAAAATGTGGAAGCAGATCTAGCATCAAGGATAATGATTGAAAAGAACGAATGGAAGTTACATCGCAAAATCTTCAACGTATTCAACAAGATATGGGGTCCTTATCAATTGGATCTATTTGCAAGCAGAACCAACACCCAACTTTCCCGTTATTATGCATGGAAAACAGATCCGTTTGCCAAAGAGATGGATGCTTTTCGGCAAAAGTGGTCCAAAATGAAACTATGGTCAAACCCTCCTTGGGTTTTAATTCCACGGATACTGGCAAAACTGATTCGGGAAAAGGCTTCTATGACTATTCTGGTTCTGATATAGCCATCAGCCCCATGGTTCCCATTATTAATGAGCCTATTAATAGATCTACCGATATTGATTTGCTCCAACAAAATTCTTTGCCCATCATTACCTCTCCAAATACATCCACTTCGCAATCCACAGTGGAAACTGCTCGCTTGCAATATTTCTGGACTAGGAATAAAGACAAAGGCTTTTCGGATAAAACTATTAACTTACTCTCATCATCAGTGGATAATAGATCTTCAAGAACAGTGTCTTCAGCTATTTGAGTATGAGAACATTGGTGTGACTCACAACACGTCGATCCTGTTACTTGCCCTATAAATAAGATTTGTGAATTTTTTTCCGACATGTTGACATTCGGAAAATCATATAATACTATCGCTGGCTATAGATCAGCCATTAGTGAAATCCACGAACGAATTGATAATTTCTCAATTGGAACTCACCCAGACATTTTAAAAGCTATGCAAGCTATTCAGATTGATAAGCCTCCTACTTCAAAGTCAGATGACGCTATTGATATTATTCTTTTGTTAGAATTTATTGTTTCCTTGGGTGACAATTCAACCATGTCTATTAGAGAACTTACTTGCAAAACAGCCTTTTTATTGGCTTTGATTTCAGCGTGTTGTCCATCAGATCTTCATCGGATTAATGCTTTTGATTATACCAAGACAAGGTCTTCTATTTCGTTCAATTGTGTCACGCCCAAAGAATATAATATCGCGGTTGCACATTCAGCCTCCACAACAAAATCCCGATTAAAAAAGATTTTTGTTGGTGTTTACCCAGATGAAAGACATCTTTGTCCATATGAAGCTGTTACTTCTTTGTTATCAAGAACTTCCCTATGGCGCAGTGTTGGCCAGTGACCCAAGTGACCTCAAATGACTCAGATGACTGGTCACGTGTCATTTGGGTCATTTCAACATTAAATGACAAATTTCCTAGTCATTTAAAAATTACATCATAATTCTGGCCAGAATTATTTATACAATTTCACTATTTCATGGATAAAATTTTCACAAGTTCATAATTCAGGCCGGCATCATTATCTTGGCCTGAATTATAAAGCATTAATTTTAAATGACTCAAATGACAAATGACCCAAATGATTAGGTCATTCGAAGGTCATTTGGGGGTCATCTCAAAATGGGCAAATGACCTAGTCATTTGCCATCACTGCTATGGCGTGTATCTGCTGATCAAAAACGTGCTCTTTTTCTTATTACAAAAGAACCTCACTCACCAGCTTCCATGGATACTATTGCCAGATGGATAAAATCTATTTTAAAGATTTCCTCTCCAGGTTCAACAGCTAAAGATATGCGTGTATTGGCAGCTTTTTTCGCTCAAAATGCTGGGGCTGGATTGGAGACCATACTAGCACTTGGCAATTGGTCTAGTAATTCGGTTTATCACCGTTTCTACCAAAGGGGTATTAAATTGATGTTAGAACGTAATCAGGTTTCTTTGTTGATTTTATCGGAAGCACATGTTGGTCACGATTCTTTAGACGAAGTCATTAATGATTCTCCGCAGTAGCACGTGATTATACTTGTCTGAGTTATGAAATTGATTTAAGTAAATGTATGAGTTTTAACGAAATGCATTTATAAATCAATGAATAACATAGGACAAGTATAATTACGCTCCCTCCCATTTTTCCCACCCTATTTACTAGTTTAGTAAAAATGGCCTAAAGAGGCTTGTGTGGGAATTGTAGTCTATATATAGTAAAATAATAGTTTAATTGTTTATGATTATGTAATATGATTATTTATGATGTAATTATTCTTTGTACTAACTTGCCGCAGCTAATAAAATGGCCGATTAGCACGTGATTATACTTGTCCTACGTTATTCATTGATTTATAAATGCATTTCGTTAAAACTCATACATTTACTTAAATTTCTCATAAAATAAAAGTTTCATCAAAGTAACTTCTATGCTAGGTAGCTTTGATAATGAAAGTGTTCATATATTTACAGATTTTGTTCAGTCCATAAATTTATTCTACTTTGGCAATAAAAATACACGAAAAACTTTAAAAACTTTTTGTGACGAAATTACATAAAATACGGCAGATCAGCAGTTAATTTTTTGCAAAAAGTTACTATTAAAAAATTCATTACGTTTCATTGGTATGGTATCTCAGCAGGGTTGTGTAGTCTTCTAGGTCTAAGAGACCTGGTCCACAGAACTAGGACCAGCCAGTAAATCTAGAATCAATACTCTAGGATTTGTATTGGTCCTGAATCAGTCGATCCCACAGTTACCCGCTGTAAGCTAGGAATTCATGAAATTTTCAGTTAATTAACGCACATTTGAATCCTGATGATGATCTTCGAATTGGTAGATGATTTACAAATTACTATGATGATGCAGAGGTTGGCAGGATGAGGTATTAGAAATAGATAATATTTTGAATTTAGAATTTGTTAACAATACTTTAGGAAACTTAATTGAAGATAGCTTAGAGGAAGGAAATGAGAAAGAGAATGACGAAGAAGAAATTCTCATGGAAGAAAGTGATAATGATGACGATATTTAGCGGGTCCTGCTGCTGAAGCGGGTAAAATAATTGATAATATGTGTAATTGAGTTTGGTTTCTTGAGTTACTGTCGTAGAAATTATTGTAAATTCTTTTAATTGCGGCCCTATAAGAAATATGTATACGGAAAGGATACGTTTTGTATACATTTTATGTACGTTTCTATAGATTCTGTATACAAATTCCATATATTTAATAAGCAATTCATTTTTGAACATTTTTTTAAAAAACTAATGTATACAGAAAAAATCAATCATACGGAATGTATACAGAATTTTTAAACTTAATATTTTTAGAAAATAATTTTACAAAAATCTCGTATCATAACATGAGATCACGTGATTGTTTATTGTTTTGTTATGATACGTTTTTTGTTTTTATATAAACCCTACTTTGTAGTAATCCGATCCTATACCTGAAAAGCCATCCGGATTCAATCCGGATTGCCTCAGCTGAATCTGGATGATAATCCACATCCAAAAATTTAGCGGATTATCCGAACTTTAATAGATCCATCCTTAATTTAGGATCCATCCGGATCTATCCTAGTCTATTTATAGAAAATTTATTTATAATTAAAAATATTTATTCAAATTTCAAATTTCGAAATTCAAAGTCAAAAATAAAAATGTACAAACACACAATTTAAACAAAAAAGCTTTATGCAATATAATTTTATTATGTAAAATGATAAAAGCATTAAAAGAAAATAAAATGTATTATTCATTATGAGGTTTGCACCATTTCTTCAACTTCGTCCCATTCTTTTGCAAAAACTTGCATAGAATTAAGATTTCTCTTCAAGAAAAGCATTTTACCAGCCAAATCTGTATCCAACCGTGTTCTTTTTACTGTAATTAGATTATTAGCATGTGAAAATAATCTTTCGCTTGAGACAGAAGTTGCTGGTATTCCAAGGTATTTACGAGCAATTTGAGATAATTTTGGAAAAATTTGTGCATGCGCCCGCCACCAATCTAATGGATTTTCTTTTTCAAGTGCAGCTGGCATGTTTAAATAATTATTTAGTTCATCACTATTATTATTACCCGAATTCAATCGACCTACTTTTTTAATTTTCATTTGGCGGCGTTGACGGTATTCTTTATATGAACGCAATGAAGATTCTGTATCTTGAGTAGGTGTAATTGAATCATTAGGGAATTCTATTACTTGTGGTGATTTATTTGGAAAATTATTTGAAAATTCATCCCGGAGCTTTTGAATAATTCTGTTTTTATCATCTTCCAACTCCACAAAATCCAATTCCTTATAGCGAGGGTCCAATAAAGATGCAATTAAGCCAGCATCATTTGGTTTATCCCAATAAAAAATTAATGAGCTGTAAATATTTTCCTTTACATTTTCCAAAACTCCTTCTGTATTTAATGGATCTTTAATAGAAATTCTTTTATTTGTAATATTACTTATAACTTCTTCATCTTCAACCTCAATAGGTGTTACTTCAATACCTTTAGATTCAAATACAGTATTCTCATCATGATGAGTAACATTATTTGATGGCAAGCTGCAAGTCATATTAAAAATAAGCTCTTTGATAATTGATATCATATTGCTAAATGTTACGTAAGTTCCTCCTGAAAAATCTTTTGTTGTTCTCTCAAATGGTGTTAAAAGATCAACTAATTGGTCCAACAATTCCCATTCTTCCTCAGATAACATGATCTTTCTTAGTTTATTTCCATCCTTTTTATCATCTCTATTGGTACTAGTACACAAATCAGCTTGGAGTTGAATTATTGCGTCTTTGAGATAAAAAAGTCGATCCCAAGCATAGTAAGATGAATTCCATCGGGTAGAAACATCTTGAATACAATGCAAAATATCTTTATAACCTAATTTGCATTGTGTTGCTTCTAATCTTTCTATCTGTCTTTGGGTTGAAAAAAAATGGACTATTCGTTTTACAAGTGCAATAAGAATTTCTGCAGCTGCCAATCCTTTCCCAATTGCTAACTGAAGAGTATGTGCCGCACAAGGAAGTCTTTGAATACTTTCACATTTATTTTTCTGAATTAGAAATGGAAATGCTGCTTTCATATTTGAACCATTATCAGTAATGATAGTTGTTACCCATCCTTCAAGATTCCAACTCGTAATACATTGGTAAAGTAATTCAGCAATATTCTTAGCGGTATGGGGAGAAGGAGCATACATCATCTCTAACATTACATCTCTAATTTTAAAATCTGTTGTAATCCATGTTGCAGTAATACCTAGATATCCATGTTTAGCCCTACTTGACCAAAGATCAGTGGTAAGAGATACTGATGTAGCCGTTTCATTTAGAAGGTTCTTTAAGTTTTCACGATTATAATTATAACTTTTAGATATCATTGTTTTGACTTTTTGCTCTCCGGGTATAATGAAGGAAGGATCAAAATTGGAAATTTTTTCTTTATATGCTGGATTTGTAACTGTAGAAATAGGTTGATCGGTAATTAACATCCATTTAAGCATAGATTCTTCTCGTTGTTTTTGGATGTGTTTTGGATGGGAGCGATGAGATTTGGCAAAATCTGTAATCTTTGTATTTCGTAACTAAAAAAATCCATTAATTTTTAATTTAATAAAATAATAATTTCAAGTTTAAATTTTGAAACATACTTTTTTCAATTTTTTGGAAGTATTTTCACTTTCTTCATCCTCGTTAACAATATGATGAATATCACGTAAGTGTGCAATGAGATTTCCCGTTGAAGATCCAGCATTTCTATACGCTTGACCACATCTACTGCCGTTATCATCTAAGATTTTACAAACTTGAACTTCCTCACCCTTTGAATTGAGACACTTTTCAAAATATTGTCTTGTAAATGAAGATTTTTTTCTTTTACTTGCAGAATTTGCATTTAATTCTTTATTTATTTCTTTAAAAAATTTATAAATGTAATAATACAATTTATTAATATTTATAAAATAAATAAATTGAACAACTATTTAATACACCTTTTCCCGTTGAATCTATTCTATTTATTGCTTCAATAAATGTAAATTCCTGGGATTCAGTCTCATTATCAATCTCTTGATTCTCTTCTTGCGACATTGTTAGGATTTAAGAAAAAAAGATGTAACGTCCAATATTGATAATCAATTTGATGATCATACATTTTTATATAATTTAATATGGATTACAATCCGTTAATCCGGATGATCTTCCATCTGTCATCCGTTTTATAACGGATCGGATTCGTACTAAAATTTCAGATTAGGATATCCGAGCTGGATCCGTAAAATAGGATCTATCCGGATTTATCGGATTTAGGATCGGATCACTACAGAACACTAGTAAGGTATAAGGGAACATATGGATTTATTCTTGAATTCCAAAAAATATTAAAAAACATTAAAAAGCAAATTACAGTCAATCCTTGTTATAACGAACTCTAGGGTTCAGAGTCCAGACCTCAACTTCGCTATAAGACTATAGTAAATATAGTGAAGATTTTAAGAGATTTAATTGGTTAATTCATTATAGCAAAGGGAAATTTATTATAGTTGTCTGAAAAATTCACTATATCAAAGGTTCGCTATATCAAGGTTTAACTATATTTCAAAATCTGATGATCTATTTGATGATGAAAATACTTTTGACAATAAATATGATATAAATACTAATAAAAACAACTCCATTGCTTGTTTTCAAAGATCATTTAAATCCAGATGTCGCTTGTATATTTAATTTAATTCAATTTACGTAAGTTCATTTGATAGTTTAGAATTTAATCATGTATATGACTTCACAGATATTTACATTTTATAATTTCAATCAGATGTGAAATAATTGCCAAAAGCATTTTCAGAAACAAAATACAGAGCAGAATATTAATATATTTATAAAATGACACATATTTTCATGTCTAAATGATATTCTTGACAATCACTTATAAGTTCTATTATAATTATTATCAAATATTTCATTGTAAATAATAATACTTACTGTTTTTATTAATAAATGGAGAAGCAGTATTAAGGGCTTTTCAGGATTACTGAGTAGAAGTAACAGATATACTAACCAATACAGAAAATACCATTTTAATTGAATGTTTACAGTATGATAAAGGATTTATGTCAGTTATTTAAATATTTATTAATTTGAATTTACAGAAACATAATTTAGGTACAAATTTATCTTGAGGTTATAAATTCTCACTTTATGTGTACTGGTTTTAAGATTAAGAACAAACTAAAAATTTTTCCAATACTCTAAAGGTGCAAAAAACTTTGAGAGACATGCATCAGACTCTAATCAAAATAATATCTATTGAAGGTGAAAGAATGCTTTTAAAATCAGTTTTATGAGCTAGCTCCAAACTTCTTATATCCAGATTCCTTTTATTATATTTTTTTGTACATACAATTCTAATTATTTATGTAGAAGAAGGATATTATTCGTCATTAAATTTAGTGGATTTTGACATTCCAACCAAGTATGAAGAACTTGAATATATCATTAGGATTTCACATATAATGCTTCAAGTTAAGGTTAGTGGTATTCTAAAGTTTTTAANTAAATTTCGTGATAAATTCCGTATCCAAACCATATTTTTAGTGATACGGAATTGTGCATTTTTCCGTATCCTATTATGATACGTTATTTCTAAGGAAAAAAATCGTATAAAAACTTTATAAAAAACGTATCCAATTTTTTTATAGGGTGGATGCTTCTTATACAAAGAAATAATTTCAATCGGGATTTGGAAGTTTCGCTAAGTTAAAAGAGGAAGTTTTCAAAATAACGAGTATGATAAACACATCAATTTAATTACCAATTAAAAGGCGAGCACGTGCATTTTTAGATACTCCAGATTTCAGAAGTTTCGCTAGGTTTCGGCAGTTTCAGAATGGCCAAAAATGAAACCTAAAATGGGCGAAAAGTTTTGCCAATCGCGAAGCAGCTTCGCACAAAACGTTAATTCTAATATTAATGGATCACATTCTTTGCATCATAATTCTTCAGTAAATTGTTTATTATAATAAGAACAATTTTATAGTTGATCTGTTGATGTTTACTGAATTAGAATCAAATCTCTATCAAGGGAATTAAATTTATCAATTTGAGATTCTATTGGAAGTTGAGTTTCATTTCCTTTTTCCATCTTAATTTTTTTTTTTTGTTATTGAGAAATAAATTGAAAAGTTTTGTGTTTATTTTATTATTTTTATTTTTATTTTAATAATAACGACAGTTACAGGTGGTAGGTACTACAAAGAAAATAAGCTAAGCTAATTCTTAACTAAGAAAACAAGGTGCTAACCACAATTACTTTAGAGTAATCGATCCGCCAAAAATTTGCGTTTATTTGCATTACCTTATTGTTTTAATCAATGGAAGAATGATAGATCATATGAGTAATACATTTGTTAAATAAAAATAAAAAAATTAATGTTTAACAAAATATGTTAGAAAAAATGATATCGTTATTAGTTTTATCAGGTCATTAGAAAAACTCTCATACCAAGTGGGCTTTTAAGAATGAAAGAATTTGTGTTATTATATATATTATATAACAAAAAATAACCTTGCAAATAATAATAAGGAGCTATTAAAAATTTTTATAAAAAAATAATAGCAACTATAAATAATCATACGCTATCATTGCATAACGTATGAACCAACCTTTTTTGGATAATTCCAGCTGACATTACGAGTAGTGCCGATCTCTTGTTACCTATGTAAATTATGAAAATGCATCTTGAAAATCGTCAATAATATTATTGTAGTTTCAAAAATGGTTGAAATTGATGTTGATTACTTAAGTGGTGACGAATAAACAAAAAAATAAGCTTCAAAATCATACAGGAAAAACATGTGATGTATGCAATATAACACAGGACCATAGAGCACTTTTTTTCAAAAACCAACCGATTAGCAATCATGTGATATTTCATCAACTCTTTTAAGAACGTGATAAGGTTTTTAGCGTATTCTATATTACATATAGTATTTTCTTGTGTTTTTTTTGTCACCATCTTACGTGATCGACATCTATTTTGAAAACGGAATAATTAAAATCTGGGTCTTGCCATTGACAATCCAATAAAATTCGTACACAGTTTGGCGATCATGGGCGTAAAATTCTATGCCGGATTATTCAAATATTAAACCCACCGCTACTTTTTTTTTGCGTTAACGCTACTTTTTTTTTTCTCTTTAACGCAAAAAAAAAATGAGTACACAAATTCTCACAAAACAAGTAAACCTTGAGAATAAACTTGAGCCGCATATTTTAATAAAAGATAAAATTTCACAAATTTGTCGTAATACGACTGTTCATGCAATTTCAATTGATTACGATAACCTTCCCTCAAATGAACAGTCAGTACTTAAAAGTACAGCTACTTTTCATGGATTGGCTGCAGCAATTTTTCATGCTTATAACAAACATCAACATTTACGCTTGACACCTGATGATATTTGGTTAACTATCGCGCAAGGAGTTAGTCAACACATTAATCATAATGCAGAAAAGTTTCGTTATCGTTTTGTTAATCATGAAGGTAAAAAAGAAATAGGTATTAATGTTGAAGATATTTTGTATCATGAAAATTCATGTATTAAAGGAAATTGGCTTGAAGCGATAAATAGGTTAGTTGTAGCAACTGATGAAGCTGTAGAGAAAATCGATATAAAATCTCTTTTAGAATGTAATTTTTCTACAACAACAAATAATTCTCTCACTGCTAGTCGTATCGTCCTTTTAGATGCCGTTAAAGCTTATTTTAGTTTTAAAATGTATTTTGATTGTGGAATCCCTAAAATTACTCTTGAAGGTACTTTAGAAGATTGGATAAAATTACAAGAAAAAGTTATTAAATTACGTCAATTAGATCTAGATATGGATTTTTGGTTGGATAAATTAGATCCTGTTATTTGGAAATTTGTAGAAACTTATAAAGGTGAAATTGATGAGGAATTTTGGGCAAAAATAATTTCTTTAAGGTATTTTGGTTCGGGTGGTGATTTTAAAGTCAATGGATGGATGACGGCATTTTTTCCCTATAAAAAAGATGGAAAAATTTTAGAAAACAATTCAATTGAACCAAGTGATATTCCTAATGGAAGAGTTGAAGTTCCATTTACGACTGATACTGGATTTTCCTTAAAATTTGTTTCCGGATTTTTAGGTGCACAACAAAAAACTCTGGAAAATTCTAATGAAGTGGTTGTTTCACCAATTATTGGTTGGTTTATTATTGATGATGATAAAGATTCGGATAAAAAATAAAAAAGCTAAATCTAAATAATATTTAGTATTTGCTAAATGAGTATAGTTTAAATATTTCATTATCTTATTTTTTTTCTTTTTATATCAACAATAAAGCTTTCACATTTTTGCTTTCATAATAAATTTCTTACTTGCTATTTTGTTCACGGGCAAAAAAAAAAACAAATAAGTAATATCATGGTGAAACTTATCAGCTAAATATATACAAAAATTAGAAGCAAGCAATGTTTTAAACCCCAAAAATAAATTTATTGGCCATCCATACTAACAGATATTCCGTAAGCCTACATTTAGGTGTTCTGATAATCGTCAAGTGAAGGCTTACGAGCCTTAACCTTCCTTCAGTTTATTTTTTATTCTCATTTTATTGTTAATAATGATTCATCGTATTTATTCTTATTTGGTTTAATTCATTTTAAAGGCTCACTAGGGCCGCCACGTACCGTATATCGGCCAGAATACCCCGGTATGTTGCAAATTTTGGAGGTTTTTTACTTATGCCCGGGTACAATAAAATATGCTAAAATATACTCCTTACTTTAAAATCAATTGCCACGCACCATATATAATAAATACCCTGTATTTTACAGCATAGGGGTACTTTGGTCCGTTATATACGGTAATTCAAATTCCCATGAGTGCTTCTTTCAATTTATTATTGAACTCGAAATATTCAATTAGTTGTCCTTTTCTATTATGCGTTTTAACAAGGTTAATAATGACGATTTTATAATTAATAGTGCGCGCAGACAAATGATCGGCAAGCCAAATGCGAATTGACAAAAACTAAGTTCGTCAATATCTAACCAAATCACTATTATCATTCCAACATTTAATGTTACTAAATTTCATATTGCAAAAAATTTTGCAAGTAATTCCTAAAAATCGTCAATTAGTCAAAAAATTAGCAAATTTCTGTCCCTATTTTTTTGTTAATAAAGGTATTGGTTAGAGACCTCAAAATTAAGTGTATTTTAACCTTTTTTAATATATATTTAAAATAGATTTTCGAAAATAAAAGTAATTCAAAAAACATATAGAATATTTTTATGAATTAAGGTTATTGACTTATAAACTCGCAAAAATCATTTTTAAATTTGAAATAATTGCGTATTCAATGTTAAATTATAACCTAATGAAATCAAAATTGTGGAACTTATGAATACTATATATTCCTACATATAAAAAGTTATTTATTTTCAGATTATTGAGATAGGACCATAGCAAACATTTTGAGTAGTGGATTGGCAATAAATAAATTTGATAAACTTAATAAATTTGAATGTTTAATGAACGACGGTGTAATAAAGTAAATGAAAATGTTCACCCAAATTTCCAACAAAACTTCGTAAAACGAATAATGATAATTAACGTGTAGATAAATCTGTCTTTAAACTAAAATTATCTATTGCGTGAATTCCCGATTTGGAATTTTAATATAAGAATTTAAAACAGGAAAATAATCGCAAATGAAATAACACTATTTAAAATTGCATAAAATAAATATTAAGAGATTTAGTTCTGATGCAAACTATTCTTAGTATGAAAAGCAATATACTAAATGAGCAAACTAAAATAAGATGAAAGGGAATTAGATCAAATCAATGGATTTTGTCGCTAACATCCTTTCTTTATTATGGTAAAACCACATTATTGATTTTTTGCTATTATTTTACGAAAATAAAAGTTAAAAGAATTAGAAGTGTAATAATTTTGTTTTTAATAATGACCTTTAATAAGCTACTGTAAAGATCCATACTTCCTGTTTTATAAAAAATTTTGAAAATATTATATAAACTTTAAATAAGAATTTGAAGTATAAGTAATTAAATGATTAAAAATAATATAAAAATAATATGTTAGATAATGGTGTAGTTAGCCGAAAAATTCAGCCGAAGGCGCAGTAAATTTTCGGCTAACAACACCCAGCCGAAAAAAATTCATGTTGATCTTGAATATTTTTTGAATATTTTATTGGTTCAACATCTACTATTTTCGGCTAGATATTTACGGCTAACTACATTATTATTTTAAAGAAGTGTAGTTAGCCGTAAATATCAAATGTAACACAATAGTTTAAGTGGTAACAAGTAATGAAAATTGATTGTTCATATTACAATATTTACCATTATTATTTAATGGTAAATATTATGTAATATTGTTTGGTGTAAAATTGTTTCTTAAAATGTTTAATTTTAATATTTGCTTGTAAATAATTTTAAATTCTTTGGTTTTCTTTTTAAAAAATTAAATACCAGTTTTTATTTTTTTTGATCGATTTGAATTAGTTCTAACAATTCTAATGATCTGCATGGTTAATTATAGGTATGGGAAATTATATTATAGACGCGGAAAATTATATTATAGACGCAGTAAATTATATTATAAACACGGAAAATATTCAATAAAATGGATTTAAATATAATCAAAGATAATTTTTTTTTTAATAAACTTTTTTTCTTTGTTATCAAATTTGCTAAATTTACTGAAATTCTTCACTTAATTATGGATTCTATTTCCACTAAACAACTTTTAACTAAAACTAGAAAAAAATTACCAAGTTTAAGTGAGATAATGTCTTATGGACAAAAACATAAAAAAATTCAGTGATCTTTCATATGTAGATGTTTATATATCTGAGGATATAGTTATAGATGAAGGTGCATGTTTATTATTACCAGATGAATTTAATGGTTATATATGTGCTGATACAACTGCTGATGGAAATTATAAATTTTGTTTGAACATTTATTATGGCTTAATAAAGTATAAATGATTATAAAATTTTATATATTTTATAAATTAAATAAGTTAAATATATTAAATATATATAAAATCATCACATTTTGATGTTGCCTCCTTGTCTTGCTGGTTCGCTTTGGTCTCCTGGAATATTATATATTGGTGTTTTTTGCGCTTCTGATATTTCGGCTAACTACACTATTATTTAAAAAGTGTAGTTAGACGAAAATATTCAGCCGAAAATAGTAGATGTTGAACCAATAAAATATTCTAGATCAACATGAATTTTTTTCGGCTGGGTGTTATTAGCCGAAAATTTACTGCGCCTTCGGCTGAATTTTTCGGCTAACTACACCATTATATATGTTAGTCTCATCAGAATAACATTATAAAAAGGAATATTATTATAAATATTAACTGTTTGATCTTTCACAAATAAGTGATAAATTAATCAATAGAAAAAATAAATAAAATAAATAAATTTCATCAAACTTATTAAACATTACTTTTAGAAAATATTTGTATTGTATCAGTAACAATTTTATCATAAATTATTATCTTTATATTTTAATTTAATATTTAATATTTAGCTCAATCATAGGTCTTTTTATTTCTTGATTTTTCCTCATACCGACATTTAGAGCTTGGACTCGCACTCATGTAACTCGAGTTGACTCGAGTTGAACTCACACTCGAGTCAGAAATTTCTTGACTCGAGTCAACCGGGATCACGTGGTTGATAGTGCCGGCTGAACCCTATTTGTAATTCCTGCCGGCACTATGACTATAACGGTCTGGGTAAAATTATGGATAATTTTTTTGGCCCGCACTTTAACTTTTGACTCAAATTAACTTGAGTTAACTCGAGTCCTGACTCGAGTCCTGGACTCGAGTACTCTTCGAGTCAAAAAAATTCTTGACTCGTTTTACTCGAGTTGACTCATCCTGACTCGAGTCCAAGCTCTACCGACATTATAATGATGACATTATATCGAAATAAATTTGATAACATTATTAATTTAATTACATGATGAATATCATTTAAATAAGGTTGATGCATCGTGCAATTTATTTGACTGAATTGCCATTTTTTTATTATTCTAAAATAAGATATAACAAAAATATATAGCACTACCGCGTTGAGCCTTATAACGAATTCCTTTAGTAAAAATCCGTTCAACAAAAAAAAAGTTGGTATGAATTAAACTATATTAGAAGAGAATATTGTTTGAGGTCAATTTTTAGCAATTTATTTTATTGATGTCATAAACAATTTATCGTTTTATAATAATATAAAGTATAATACATGTCAGATAGTAAAAATTATCGAGGAAAAAAATATAAATTATAAACAATAATTCAAAAAAAGTAATGTTAAATAAAGTAGTTTAAATATCATAAAATAAATGAACAGTTTGATTATTACTTAGTTAACAATGCTATTTTCATTACTAACAATCTGTTATTTTTAATGCTCCGAATAATCCGAGTACCCGGGTTATTTTGACCCGACTTGACTTTTAAATCGGGTCGATACTTGTAATTTTGAGTGAATAAATAAAGAAGCTTAAATATCATAAAATAAATGACTTAGTTAACAATGCTATTTTCATTACTAATATCATCTGTTATTTTGAACAAAATATATAAAATTAATAAATAAATAATTCATACAATACATAATATAACATATTGTTTTTTACCTTTTGATTGTAATAATGAGCTAGAAACTTCTAAATCAACTAATTGAGAATCTTGATTATCTAAAAAAGCAATAAAATTAGTGATTATAGGGTTAACTTTTGAGTAATAAAAAAATTTACATAATACCTTCATTATTTTCATCATCATCAAGATATGAAGTAATAATAGATGAATTAACAGGTTTTGTTAAATTGTTGAATGCAAATAATCTACTAGTATATATTGCATCAGAAATTTTTTTATATGTAGTTGAAATATTTGGTATTTCTTTATCAGCTTCTTCAAATATAGCCTTAATTTCTTTTCCTTTATAACCATATTTTTCTATTTCTTGATAATGTTCATCAAAAGAATTATACCAAAAACTTATTATATCATATAATTCTTTGGCTGTTGGTCTTTGATTTGAATTAGCATTCATACATTTATAAGCTAGTTTTTTATAAATTTCAGGAGTCCCTTTTCCAAATTCTGGTCTGAGTCCATTACATATTTCTAATGCCAAACTTAAATCATGTTTTCTTTCATAAAAAGGTGGTTTTCCAGAAGATAATTCAGCCATAATTACACCAAAACTGTAAATATCTGAAGAAAATGTATATGGTTCTTTATTTAAAACTTCTGGGGCAATATATGGTAATACTCCACATATTTTATCATCTGATTTTTGTTTATTTGATGGTCCTGATAATCCAAAATCTGATATGTAAGATTTATAATCACTAATTTGTAATATATTTCCACTATGAAAATCTTTATGAAAATATCCTAATCCATGTAAATCATCAAGATTACTTGCAATCCAATATAAATGTCCAATTTTATGATTCCATAAAATTTTATTGAAATTACTTGAAAGAAAACTTCTCAAATTTCCTTTCTGTGCAACATCTAAAATCATCAAAAATTCTTCAGTTTCTGGATCTTTAGTTATTCCATAAAATTTTAATAAAAAATCACTCAACACAGTAAATTTCCAATGTATTTTAAGCTTTCATTTTAAATTAAAACTAAAGTAAATTAGTATGTCATTAACAATACATGTATGTATGTTTATCTTATTAGTTAAACATACCTCATTTAAATACTCAGCTGACATATTTTGTGATCCATTTAACCTTTTTAAAGCAACTTTAATAGATTCTGATTCTCTTTTTTTCCAACTTCCATCATCTTGTTTGAAATATTTTACTTTACCATCAATCCATGTTGCAGAATATACTTTTGCAAATCCACCTTCACCAATTTGTTTTAAGTCCTCAAATCTATCAAATGGTACCCACTCAAGAATTTTGAAATCATAAAACCGACCATTAGACTTTCTTGCATCATAAATTATGTCTTTGATAAATTTATCAATATCATTATTTCTGCTGGTCCAACCTTCAATCATTCTAAATGGATCACATTCTTTACACCATAATTCTTTGGTAAATGGTTTATTGCAATAAGAACAATTTTTTTGGCTGATGTTTTCCAAATTAGAATCTTTATTAGAGTTTTCATCAGAGATATTTAATTTACTAAATTCAGTTTCCATTGTAACTAGAGCTTCACTTCTTTTGTCCAATTTTAACCTTTTTTTTTTAAAAAAAAAAATTATTTGGATTTATTGGCGTTTTTTGCGTTACCTTTATATTGTACTTTATTAAATGAGGATAAAAAAGGAATTAAAATTCCAAAATTAGAAGATCACTATTATAGTAACAATTTATGTTGATCAAATTTTACAATTATGATAACTACAAAAAATAAATGAACGTGAAATTATTAAAAATTTAATTAGGAGAAGCTTTTCATTTAGCAACTTTGGGAATGAAAGTATTATTTTATCTTTTATTCTATTCTACTTTAGCAAGAAATAAATAAAAAAAAAAATATAATTTTGTACGAAAAAATTAAATTATTTCAGATCGGCAGTTTTTTTTAGTATAACATCGACATGTAAGTGAAAAATAACGATCACAGTATGTTATACCAATGAAAGAAAGATACTCATTCCATGATGTTTTCTGAATTAGAATCTTTAAATCTTTATCAGAAACTTTATCAGAAATATTTAATTTACTAAATTTAGTTTCCATTGAAACTTGAGTTTCATTTCCTTTGTTTCATCATTGTTTTTTTTAAGTTTAAAAATAAATTAAAAATTTTATTGGCGTTATTTGTATTACTTTATATTTTGGTCAATAAGGATAAAAAAGGAATTGAGCTTCCAAATTTAAAGTGCCACAATGTCGATCATTCCTGCACTCTGCGTCATAATATTAACTACGAAATAAAATGGAAAGAACGAAGGTAAATTTTTTGATAAAGTAAAGTTTCATCAAAAGTAACTTTCATAATTTTTTTATGACAAAATCACATACCGTATGCAGATCGCAGTTAACTTTTTATGAAAAAAAGTTTATTATTTATCAATAAAATTCATTATTTTCGTTTGTTATCCTAATAGAATGTTAGTCTTCTGGACTTGGTCCGCAGGATCAGTCATCAGATTTTCCTTAGAACTAAAATTATTTAACTTGAAATTTTTAATTATTAGTAATTTTAGTAATTTTCAGCATAGAGAAATGATATTAACCGGTTATTTCTCAAAATAATTGCGTAATCATGATATATTTTTTTTTAAGTATCGTGTTTTTATTTTTATTTTTATTTTTTATTTTTATTTAACAGTAATAGTTAGTGAATACAAATTTTATAAACATATCAAAAATGAAAAAGTAAAATAAAAAAAATGAACTAAACTATCAGAAGAATCTACTTTGACGGTGGGCAATTAAACACAAGACTATTAAAGATATAACCAACTATTAAAGATATAACCAACTATTAAAGATATAACCAACTACACCTAAAAACCATTTCTTTAATTAACCCACTACCTCTCATACACTAGCCGAAACTTGGTAAGTTGAAGCCCGCCCTGCAGAAGAAAGTAAAATTGACCCTATAAAATTATATAAATCAAACTACTAAAATCTACGATGGCGCTATGAAGTAAGATTGGTATAAAATTCTATTATATTTTTGCCAAAATAAATATAATTCCTAATACTATCTAAAGAATCATAATGAATAAGATTATTATTACTACTATTATTAATAGGTAACGAACGAACGCTTTTGAAATCTAATTTTTTCTTTTTAGTCAATCCCAAAGAACATTCAAATTCCTTCAAATGCGAACACCTTGGAATCCAAACCTCTTCAAATATTTCATTAAAAATAAACTGCCTCATTTGAATTAAGACATCAACAACATTTTTCTTTGTAGTCCAAGAACTCAACAAATCTGAAAGTAACATAGGTATAATTCCTTTAATAAGATCGATAAAAGTAAACACGTTAGGATCATAAGAAATATCCCATATATTAAGCGCCATGAGAGCATTGAAATCTTGTATATTATCATTATATTCTAATATCCAAGTCAAGAGATGATTAATAGTTTTATCTCTAATATTGTTAATGATATCATAATGACCACTACACGTCCATACATGATTAAAGGTTTCGTCATGTAATCCACATATAGGACACATCCATCCATCATATAAATCAAATAGCGATTTCTTCATCTGTTCAATAGTAGGAAATTCTTCAATTATTAAATGAACTTTTTGAGCTTTCGTTTTAGAAGAAGAAACAGAAGTTTCATTATTATTTATATCACAATTTAAACAACTAAATGTGGATGTCCAATCAACTTCTAATGTTCGATATTTATAATTTCTGTTCAAATTAATAAATTTTTCTAAGCCTTTGTAGTTGCAAATATTTTTCAAAAATGAGCACAGCTTATTTTCAATAATAATCCCATTCCAACAAGGAAGAACTTTCATCATACAAGCGTCCCATCGAAAAACTATATAGCGATCCTGATCAGTATGTGCAGTTTTTGCCAAATTATCTACATAATTATTATCCATATCATTACCATGAGCAACAACCTTAAACATTTCCACATGCAAGTTCAATGTTAATATAATTCTACATAAAATAGCCCATAAAAAATTATTATTAGCCTTAAAGTATTCGCGTGAAGTTTGAGAAAATCTTGATTTCTTTAACTTTTCAAATTGTGTAATCACATTAAGCGAATCAGTATTAATTCTAACTTTGCTATTTTTTGGAACAACGCTTAATGCTAAAAGAACAGCTAATAATTCTCCTCTGTACGCAGAAGGCCATTTATCAATAGTAGAATAAAATTTGACATGAGGTATATCAAACAAATCACTAATCTGAGCGAAGGCGCAGCCAATACTACACTGTTCAGTACCTAATTCAATTAAAGATCCATCAGTGTAAAATTCAAAAATATAATAATCGTTGTTATCAAAAGGAGCTAATGTTCGTTGTATAGTTAACAAGTCATTTCTTGAAGTTGAAGAATCTAATAAATCCAAAATTATATTATCTTGTAATTGTGGAGAAATCACGTGATTTTGCGTTAACGCTCGATGCATAATATCATATTTCTTTTTTGCAAAATCAAAAATGTCAAAAATATTAAATTCGATTAAATTTGTAGATTGAATAGATGTAAATTGAGAATCAGTCAACAATGGTACTAAACATTCCCAATTAGCAGAAAAAGTGCAAGGTGAGTGTGTTGATAAAGCTGCGTTAGCAGCACATCCATATTCCATACATTGATATATATACATATGTGTGTCAGTACATTGTGACATATCAGTATGAAAATGTTTAATAACAAGTCATTGTGTTTCATCTACTCCTTGAATTTCACTTCATCCCTACTTTCCCCTGTCCTTTCGTCCTTCCCCTCCCTTCCCCTATTGTCCTTTCCTTTCCCTTTCGTCCTTCCCTTGCTTCCCCTTTCGCTCTCCCCCTTTTCTCACACCTTTCTTCCGCCTCTTTTTCTTGGAAGTAATATAAGTTTCATTTTTTCCAATAACCACAGAATTAAATTGAGGATTGTAAAATGCTATTAAAGATCAGTTTTTTTTAGTAATATCATATGATCGAGCCTCTTCCATATTATCAACACGAATGCCAAATAATTGTGTTATACTATAATTCAAATGAACACTGTCAGAAGTAATTAAAGTTCTAATATCTGTATACCATTTAGCTACTTTCTGTCATGAAGACATGGGAACATAAGCCTTAATAAGTATTTCTTTCCATAATAATAAACGAGATTTATCACCTAAAATAATTTGGTCTAAAAATAAAATATTTTTTTCACGAAGTCTATCCCGATGTTTAGAATAATATGCATTATCTACAATGTCTTCTAAAGGAATTTTACCTCCTTTAATTGATGGAAAAATATTATTATCTAAATTCTCTAATGAAATATTATTATCATAACATAACAATAGCATATTAAGGATATAATTATTTTTTCGTGTATGCGGAACACGATTATAGGGAAGTTTTTCTATCAATGGACGCGACGTCCATAATTGATCCTGTAAGATTTTAAACGAATTTCAGTAATTTTTCCTAATAGACCATTGTCGTTAAGTTGAATACAAAAATCAGTAATTTTGGCTTGGAGTTGATTATCGTAAAAATCTCGATATCCATATATATAAGGATTGTCAAGTATAGCGTTAGGCGCAGAACGAGCAAATTTCAATTTGTTTTTAAACATCCTTCTAAAAGGAATTTTAAGTATCGTGTTTTATTTCTATACAATTTTTTATGGTGAACCATTAACGTTTGAGACATTTGTGTCACAAGCACGTGATTTTTTCCTGTTGGTCATTATGTAATTAACTAACATGCAAAGTTTCGTCATATGGACGATCATAATCTAATTGTATCTTATTGTAAAACATGTATAAATAATTGTGTAATATTGATCACGATTTTTGGACTTTTCTCATTAATGAATATTCTGCTAAAATTAATAAATGGTTAATATTTATTCTACAATATAATGAGAAAAAAATTTGTAGCAGTATATTTATTGGGATTTTCACGATTAAATATCTATAATTTATTTTTTCATTATCATTTCACATTATCCTTTGCAATTAATTATTCAAATGATATTTTTGTAATTTAAAAAAAATTTAGAATTATTTATGGAAAAGAATCTTATTTACATTTTATAAGATTTTCTATGATTTGATTTGTCTATACTGATCCGGGACCTAAGATCAGCTGATCTGGACTGGGTATGCGTCCCTTAGATAAAGTGATTTTTGATAAAGGTAACGATAATCGTTAACTTATTTTTTCTCTTCTTATTAGGAACAGCACATACTCTTGAATAAAGGCGAGTTTGGTTATCCGATTAACTTGAGCGTTATTTATCGTTAAACTTTTTTAGGAACCAATCAAAATTCTGCAAAATGAGTTTCGTGGAGGTTATCGGGTTTTCCGATTGTATTATTTTTTTTTACAGCTGTTTTCATAAGACCTGGGACAAACTAAATTTTTGAACCCGATCTGCCGATCCGGTATTTTTAGCTTGGCACGTGATCCTGATTTGATAATTTGATTTGTAAAATAAATAACAACTGAACCGGATCGGTGGGTCGGCGGTCGGGTTCAAAAATTTATTTCTTATGAAAACAGCTGTAATGTTAAAAAATAGGACAGTCTATGCACGAAGAAATGACCGACATTACTCTTTATTGCCTTGAAAAGAAAGAAGGGCTTAGAACAGCTTTCACTATTACTGTCGAGAAAAACCAAGCTTAAAGAAGCTATTTGGGAAAAAGTTAAAAATTCTTATGAACATAAGAATATGGAAGTGCAATTTACCTTTTCGGACAAGGAAAAACTTGTACGTCTTTTACACAAAGGCTTATCAATTGAGGGTGAAGCACAAAAAACAGAAATACGTAATGCTACTGATGAAATTGGTCAACATTTTAGTGAGCCACCCGCAGAACATATCCATACCTCAATTCTATGTTTTAAATTCTGTTGATTTAATTAAGAGATTCTTCGATATTATATTTTTTAATCTTCGATAACATAAGACCCATATTTGTGTTGAGTGGCGTTAGAAGCTGAGAGTTGAAGTAATCATGGACTATGCACATGTCAATAACAGAGTTTTAAAACGAAAATCGATTTCTATGAAGAGTTGAAGACTAGTAAATACCATGAATGGGAATATTTTCGTTAATTTTATAGAGATAAAACACTGATCTCGTTTTCAAATTAAGAGGTTCTGCATAAATCCCGAAGGAATTCGCTTCACGAATCTGATTCGACCATCAATTTCGAATTTAATTGCCTAGAGTGTCAATTGAATGACATCTTATATCTATGAATAGTAGAAAATGAATAACCTTTCAAGCTTTTCAGTCCCATCTCCTATTATATCAAGATTGAAAACATACTGTATATCAGTATATGAGTTCGTTTCTTAATCATCCAGAATCATTTATTGAATTTATTGAAGAAAGTAATTAATTTTGCATATTTAATTTACCAAATTCTGATACTTTAGTACTCCCTAAAAAGTACTCATAAATTTCGCATAGCATCACGTCGTAACACAATCGGCGCAGCAGGACTGCAGCTAGTATCAAAGCTTACTAAGCACAAACTTTATATAAAGGGATAAAAATTATGTAATGGAAATAGTATTGCCGCTTACACGGCATTACGGCATTACGCGTAATTAATTGCTATTGTCATACAAATAACACGTGATCATGACTGTCGATAAATAATCATAAAAACTCTTTCTCTGTAACTTTCAAACGAATAAATAACCATAAAAAACTATTTGTTATAATAGATAACAAATAACCACAAAAAATTTCTTTATACTTTCAAAAACTTGACTACTAATTTACGCCATTAAAACAAATTTATACAACTCACTAACTCAGTACAAAGATTTTCTACTAAAAAGGAGTTGTGGAATAACTTTCTTGAAAAGAATTGGAATAATTGCGGAGAGAATTGGGGAAATCTAGACTTTACCTCAGAACATATGTTTGGGATCATGGAGGCATATAAAGAAGGCACTAAGGAAATTCTGAATATCTTAGAAGAAGTTATCAATAAGTTGCAAAGTATGGAAACCCTAGCCGTCTACAGAGATTTCGTTACTGATTTTATTGTAGAACTTGAAGTAAGATTTAGAGATTGGCCTAATGCGAAAAGCGCTATCTATAGCAAGATCAGACAAGAAAGTGTAAATTATGGGCAAAGAGATAAAGAATGTATTTCAGAATTGCAGAATTTTTTGCAAGCAGTTAACATGACTGTCGAGGACATCGAGTTAATGATACGTTTTAAGAAGAGGAGCAATAAAGAGTTTCATAAAGGAGAATATCTAAAGCATCTTGAACCTAAAGAAGCAAGGGAAAATTTCGAAGCTTCATTTCCAGACAGTCTAAAAGTTTTCAAAGATTCTTTTAGAAAGGTCTTCAACGCTTTAGATCATTGGGACAAGTATCGTAATTCAGATAATTCTTGCATATAATTTCACATTATCATAAATACTGGGTGGCGTCGACTTTTCATATCAATTGCATGATCTATAAACTTTTCTAATATTAACGAAAAAACTGCATAATCTATTAATTTTTTTTATTAATGAAAAACTAAATATAGTAAGTTATAAATACTTCTATTATCGAATATTAATTTACTTAGCATAAATATAAAGTACGTGTATTGGTTAAATACTGTATTTTTTTTACTGCAAATGACGCAAATTAATGAAAATAAGATTATATAAAAGCATGTATAAATAATTAGTTGCTAATTAGATTCGTGTGAGAAAATTCTTTTTTTACTTTGTTAATTGAAATATAGTCTTCTTTCAAAAAAAAAAAAATTATCAGAGGTATATAACAAAAGTTACATAACATACTTTGAAAGTCAAAAGGTGAACGTAACTCAATAATATTAATCACATCGAGAATTCCCTACGCCTCTGATACGAAAACGTAGTGCGTTTTCCGCAGTTTAATTTTTGTTGATCTCCGCAGTTAATTTTTCATTAATTTCTGTGTTGCGTACTTTAATTTTCGTTATCGATTTTTATAATGGCATCAACATAGATTTTCTCGATAAGGAAATATGAGGTAGTCGCCATAAATGAAATATTTTCGTTAAAATTTATTAAGTACATCTAAAATTTAAAATAAAAAAATCGATTAGGTCGTCTCTACGTATGATTTTTAGAGCAAACTTAAACGAACCTTGAATCAAATAAGCACAGATAAGTAGATGAAATACGTTTAAATTTTATTTCCAATTTTATGCGGAGCGATTTCTTTTAATGAACATACATCGTTTTTGTTATGTCAATATACTATTATATTTTTTACGTAGAATAAATAGACTAACCGAGCTTTAAAAATGATATCAAATGTACGTTAAGGAAAAGACAATAAAGACATTAACAACAATCATTGAGAAGATAATAAACTACTGTATTGAAGAATTGAAACACCAAAAGTACACAATGAAAAAGATTATTTTTTTCATTAATAACCGGAAAAAAGAATAATATCACTATTAAAAATAATAAGCGCTATAACCGACGTTTTCTTGATCATGTCAATCGCGCCACTAATAGGGCGTAATAGACAGGTATGGAGCAATATGGAGCAACAATATTAAATTCCGGTCAATCATCAAAACTGGGAAAAGTGCTAAAACGTAATACTGTAGACAAATACGAAGCTTCATTAATCTTAGAACGTATATCATTCCAGTAATTGTTCGCTGATGACAAATTCTCATCCGTAATATCACGTGCTAATGCTAAGCCACCCTAATTAAAAATTATTTAAACAATTCTCTACTATAGAAAAGTAAAAAAATATAAAGAGTATTAAAGAAGCCAATTTTAGCTTCTTTCAATGTTTATCTTCGAAAATATCTTTGTATATAAGAAAATATTAGAACAAGTTTTTGTTAAGAAAAAAATAACAAAAAAGAAAGAAATAGGAATAGAAAAACAAGCTTAAAAATAAAAAAAAACTTTTTACTATAACTAATCATACAACTTATAAAATGACCCACTGTAAGTTAGATGGGTCGTTGACTATGTTAGATGGGTTAAAACGGGTTTTTATATTAAGTTTTTTTGTCTCGACGTAAGGTAAAATCAAAAAAATATTTGTTATTGGTTTGCAGATTCACCTGATATAAAATCCCGTGTATGTTGATCAATTTGACATTACACAAAAATATTTTACTATGTCGATGAACCAAAGGCAGCAAACCTGCCCATATTGATATTTTCAAAACCCAAATATACCGCTTATTTCTCTGTTATATGACGTAAATGTTAGATAATTTGGTAAATAGAGTAAGGACCGACATTGGGGAAAAATGTTAGTGAAACCCAAAAATCGTGATTGGCTGAAATTAACGTAATTTCGGCCTAATTCTAAAGACGAAGGCCATAATTTTAGCCGGAATTATTTTGGCCAGAGTTTCAGCAAAATCATAATCAGCCATTCAATCAGATTTAAATATCGTGAAATTTTATCAAAAATCGCGGTTCATCCCAAAATCGATAAAATCGGGATAAAATCGGGATCAACTCAGCCTATATCCTATCCTTTGACAAACCTGCGATCACTTCCACAAATCTCTTCACACCTCGAGGAAGTTCCACAACATTATTCGGTAAGGGCAATATGATAGTCAGCTTTCGTGTAATAAATCCTCTCTGGAGTAGATGCCTTTCGTTTTTTCTTGTTCGTGTAGAAGGTTGCAACACATTTTGCATGATACCCAAGGCTTCTTGATTCTGCTTCCCTTCAGTAATGCAAATAAGTTCTTCGTTTAACGAGTCTACTATTCTTTTGATTCCGTAATCGACCGTCCTGTTGCTTCTTTACCAACAACTTCGAACTGCAGTTCTAGAGAGATTTTTTTCTTAACGATTCTCTTAATATTTCTTCGATACATGAATAACGCACAGCCTCGTTACTTGATTTGGCCGGACCTATTGCGTTTAATCACAACTAAGCAGTATCGGAAGTCTTCATCGTCGTCACCGATTTTCTCCTCCCTGTAAAAATAAGCAGTTCAGAAATTGTAGCTTTCCTAGCGAGCGGAGTAAAGGCATGACCTCCTATCTTACCTGGTACGAAGGGTGGAATCTTTTTTGCGTCATCACCAACGAGAGTATCTGGACGTGGACATAGTGAATATTTATATTTCTACTCGGACGAATAAAAAATAGTGGCCGTATAAGCAAAGTTCTTTTATCATGTGACATTGTGACACTCTGAACAAATTTTTAGTGTCATGTGGACATTTAAGATTTTCTCTTTATTTTAACACTTTTTCAATTCTTTTTTGAATCACGTACATAAAAATAAATGCCGAAACATTTATTTTTATAAAACTAGCAAACTAACCCAGTATTAAATCCTTGGACTTATTCATGATAATTTAGGACCAGGTTTTGTTGACCTAGTATTGACTAGTCATTCCTATTCCTACATGGTTTTGGTAAGAAATTTCGAAAATCATTTGAGCGACTGACAAGACCGACCACAAAATCTCGACAATCCAATAATATCCTGACAAGTCAAAATCCTGACAAATTATAACACATTTAAACTAAATATTACATATTGCAACAAATTTTTTTATTAGAACATACATCACAAAATTGTCGATATATAATGACTTGTCGAGATTTTGGATTTGGATTGTCGAGATTTTGTTGTCGATCTTGTGTTAGTCGTGCAAGTTGACTCTCGAGATTTTGATCGGATACCACCTACATATCATACTCTTTCTTTCTTTTTTTTTTTTTTTTTAAAAAAAAGGTAAAATATATACGAAAATCAAATATATATATATATATTCATCGTGTTTATATTTATAAGTTGAAGATTAATGATATTCGTTTACTTTCAAATTATTTATACGAATATTTAAACGTAAATTATAGTAAAAAAAAAAAAAAATTTTTTTTTTTTTTTTTTTTTGCTATTCTAATGAGACCTTGAAACCGCTTGAATATGTAATACAGAATAAATTCATTTTTTTTTATTATTGGCTATAAAATATATTACAAAAAAACAAAGTTGAAAAAAAATTTTTTTTTTTTTTAATAAGGTAAAAAAAATAATATTAATAAGGTAATAAAAATAAAATAATTTAAAATAAACCTAAAATTAAAAGAAAACCACTACAAATTAAAAGAAAACCATACTTTATTATATTGATATATTTTTTACGCTCTTATAACTCTTAAATTATTCTTTCTATTTTCTTTTTTAAAAAAGAAAAAAATTTATTTATTGTTTTTGAAAATAATAAAAGATTATTTCGGAACTTACTTTAGAAAAAACCAAATTTTTCTTGAAGTGTTTCAAAAAAAAGGGAGGTAATTGTAATATTAACATTATTCAAATAAATGATACAAGATCATATGTTAAATATAAATGTCATATATATATAATGAGAAAAAAAAAGGATTGATAGTTCTGAAGATCACTTATCCATTACTCGTGTTACTCCATATTTCAATGTTTCATGCAAACAGATCAAGAAAAAAAAAGTGTGGAAGAATGTGATAATGCTTTTTTGTTGCCTTATTAGCTTCATTCATGATACAATTAATGTAAATCACGAAAATGAAGATCTTCATATTAAGGAATATCCATTAACACATTTTTATCCACAAACGTTTTCCTGATAAATCATTTCGCTGACTGTTTTTAACCAAAAGATTATTTCATGCCTTTAATTTTACATTTTTGATGATAATGATGTATTGATGTTCAATCCGAAAAAATTCGGAACAAAAGTGTATGGAAATTCAAACATCTAAAATTCCTAATATAGCAATTTTAAAATGTGGATATAAGGATTATCGGTAAGCTTAAATTATGTGAATCATTTTAGTAAAATCCTATCTATAAAAGTATAAATGACAAACTCCTAAAAAAAAAAAAAATTTAAAATTTGATAAATTAGAAATTATCATTTATAGAAAAGAATTTCTAAAAAGATGGAAAAATTATAAAACGAGTATGATTGTGAATCTTTGAAGGATTTTCGGCTTATGTACTGTAAATCATCTATGAAAACTAAAATTTTTTTTCGTACTAATAACCAATTTGATTAATTTTAAATGAAACTAAATTACAAAATAAAATAAGGAATTTTTTTTTGAACTCCTTTTTTAAAAAAATTCTCTATAAAACCACCAATTCTTCATACCTAAAAATATAATATAATTTAAATCTTTATTAATAAATTTACTTGATTAGAGCCGAGCTCTCATCATTATATAATTTCCGCACTCTTTATTTTTTTTTTTTTAAAAAAAATTACAATCATGAAATTCGCATCAGTCTTAATCATTTTTTTGGTATTTGTCGTTGCCATTGCTTCTGCAAACCCCATCCTTGAAAGAAGAAAATTAGGAAACAACGTAGTTACTACTGGGGTTAAATTCAAGGATTTATATGAAAGCCTTAACAATAAGGTGAAAAAGGTCGAAAAAGCGTACGGTGAAGCAATCCCATCATTTCATAAAGAAATAAAAGAAGCTGCTGAAAAGGATGGAACTGATGTACCAGAATTTCTTGAAAAATGGAATAAAAAATATAAGTCACTTTCAGTCCAATATATTGCAATCTCTAATGCCATGGGCAAGAGTATTGATAAACTTGGCAAATATATAAAAGAGAATAGTTAAATTCTTGAAATTTTTCCCTTTAATATTTATTCGAATTATTTGTTTTTTTTTTCATAATATAATGATCTTATCAAATATTTAAAAAATTTATTTTGTAATTAGTTTTAAATTTAATTTATCAAATTAATATTATTAATGACATAATTGTTCGGTCATACTATTTATTATCATAAATAAAAGAATAGTTTTTATTCTATAATTTGCAGCTACTTAAATTTTAATAATTGTCAGAAATCAATATAATGGGTATTTAATTTATTTAATTTATACTCACAAATATTTGTCTGGCTAACAAATGTCGATCAATTAATCGATCAAAATTTATAATTCGGGCTAAAATTAGTATTGAATTATCCAGTCGAACGAAGGAATGAAGAATGATCCTTAAATAACGTGATATTTATCCAGTTTTTGAGCGAGTAAGCTAATTTTTTTCGATCATCGATATCATTTTATCCAGATATTTCATTAGGTTTTGGATTATAGTAATGAATTGTCTAAAGTAATCACCGTGTAATAAGACGCTGTTGGTATTTAAAACGACAGGCGAGATTAAACTATATGTAATGTTTACGTGGTGTAAACACAGGCCGTCAAATTGCTAAAATCAAAAACAGCAAAGTATTGCCCAAAGATCTATACGCTATAGACTCTTAAGAGTTAAGATCACACTATTTTAAAATCAGTCATGAGTTTATTTATAGCCCACTAATGGTATGAAAATCTAATTACAGTCGGCTCTCGTTATAACGAATTTTGTGTCCGGGCCGATCTGACCTTCGTTATAAGAAAATTCGTTATTATTATGGGAAAACCTGGTATAATAAGGGAAATTTTGTATATTGCGGTATATCGCATTACAATTGAAAATTATATAACGTGAATGATTTCACGTCACACGGTGAAAATCACATACGCTGAAATATAACTAACTTACTTTTTGATTTATTTTCTTTTATAAATTTTACCTATATTCTATTGTCACAAGTAGTAACCATTTTATATTCGTTTAATTTATGTAAATAATATAATGTGTCGTTATAAATATAAAATTCGTTACAATGTGACTCATTTTGTATATACTGTTTATACACTTTACTTCGTTAAACGGTATACAGCATTTAATTAGTAAAATTCGGTATAGTAAGATCTTTTTTTATATATCAAAATCCGTACCACAGTGAAAATTCGTTGTACTAAATAATTCGTTATATCAAAATTCGTTATATCAATGAAACTGTTCAATAAATGTTGTGGGTGAAATAAAAAGGTCGAAACATTTCATCCTTCAAGTTGTAAAGTTTCGAAAGGTCGGTACTAAGGTGAAATTGCCAAAATTTTCCGATATTAACGAAACTTCTTGGATCATGTGATATAATAAACTAACCAATTGAATCGAATATTTTAAAGTCACATGAAGCAAATCATTTTTGTTAGTCTTATCGTCGGACTCGAAATATTTAAATATTTTGAAGGAAAAAATTATCATTTACTGGAATGTTGCCAAGTCACTATTAAAAAGAAGTAAGATTTGCCACTATTATTTTTAATTTCACTTGTCAACTTTAATACAGATGATAGTAACACTCTATTTACCAATACCCTTATTTTATTAATAGAATACGTAATGCAACCACTTTGTAAATTTTTCAATATTAACAAAACTTTATACAATTGATTTTATTAAATAATTTAGCTAATAAGAAGTTTTGATAGGGTTCGTTAATTTCGATAAGCTTTATTAGTATTGGCAATTTGGCATGTTTCAGAAATTTCGGAAATTTCGGAAGTTTCAAAAATTTGACAATCTGAATTCGTCAAGTTTCGAAATCGCCCCCTTCCCACAACAAATGTAACAAAATGTACAGTGTGAGTACGGTATATATTTTATTGTATTAGTAATTAGGAAATAATGTGCCGTTTTTTTGACGGACTCAGGTTAGTGATACGTTAAGTGACAAACAATCTGGATCATAGAATAACACTTTCTAAAAACCTTATAAAAGGTAACAGTACAAAAATAAATGATTAGCAATAAAACGTAATATTGTTTAATCTTTGATCATCCTTTTCAAGAACGAAAAAGTGTGTTCTAATGATTTACATTATATAATTATATCACGTTACATTACACATTTTATGTTTTTAGAAATTTCTTTGTTTTTTTTGTCATGATCGACATCAATTTCAACCATTTTGAAAAACGGTAATGTACCAATCATGGACGTCATTTTATAAAAATGATTGTTCAAATTCTAAAAATGGTTAATAATATATATTTGAAACTAAGGGGTATGTTATAAAGAGACTAATTAAGAGATTAATTGAGAGACTAATAGAGAGAGAATGAAATTATGATATTTATGATGATCGATAATAATATTAATTTCATATCGCCCATTAAATCATTATCAAATAATAACAGAAATAATAACAGATAACAATATAAACTTTAAAAAAAAAAAAAAAAAATTTTAAAAAACAAAAAAAAGCCATTTTTAAAAAATTATTCAAAACAACAATCAAAATAATCTGAACAATCACCAAGTAACCAAGTTCATTATTACCTCTAAAGTATTATAAATCAATTTTTTTCATTTAATCCATTTAATCCATTTAATCCAAAAATAATAATCCAAATAAAAATAAAGATGATGATTTTCATAAAATTTTTAATGAAATTTTTATTTTACTTTTAACCTGTTATTATTACAATTAAAGATTTTAAAGTTTTTTAAATTTTATTTTAAATGATTTTATAAAAAAAAAATACATTTTATCAATATTATTCCTAAATATAAATTCAATTGTTTTAGTTAATATTTGTATATAATATTTTTTTTTTCCGATTTTATTATACAATCAAAATAAAAAAAAAATTTTTTTTAATGTTACATAAAAAAATAAAAATAAAGTTTTCTAATTTTTTGTTGAAACCTTGTTATATTGTATTTTTTGTAAACTTTATTAATTGTTCCTCTTTTATCTCGAAATAATATTTATTATTATTTAATTATTATTTTGTCCATTTTTTTTTTTTAAAAAAAATAAGATGATTTAAGATAAAAAATTCTTTCGGATGAAATAATATTGTACATTATCTAAAATTTACAAATAAATTATTTATAATTAATAATAAATATTATATTAAGCCGCCGGTTAACAATTACATATTACGACTTTCACTTTTACATGGCCACATAGCCTCAAAATAAATTTATCGTTATCACAAAAGATGTATCAATTGTAACACGATAATGGATGTAAGCAAAAAAATTATTTAGTTTCAAAAACATGTACAAATAAAGGTAAAAAAGTCTAAACTAACCAAAATTTTAATTTGTACGATCAATTTTACGGAATACGGATACGGCTGATGTAACACATGAAATACTATTGTAATAATAGATTTACCAATCTTTAAATCATTTCTAAAAAAGGATATACCCGATATGGTTTGATTTATGTTTTAAAAACTTCGAAACATTAAGGGAAGAATCTTAAAACTAGAACAATACAATACATAGGGAAAAAAATAATAATGAAATAAAATCATATAATAAGAAACAGTGTAAAATTCTAATACTCTATGATGATAATAGATGTTTTATAACGCCTAAAATTTGGTTTGTTCGATTTATTATAAATACGCTTTGACCCGCCTTGTAAAATCTCATCAAAAAAAAAAAAATAAAAGTTCAAAAAGGAAAAGAAAAAAAAAATCAACTAAACAAATTAATCAAATTCTTAAAAAATCTTTCCTCAAATAAATTTAATCAAAAATGAATCCAACAATTATTACCTGTAAACCAATTGTTATCGTTACTTCCGAAGTAACAGAAAAACCTGGTAATCCCACAAACTCATGTTCTATAATGTAAACGAAAAAATTCTTTTATGAACGAGTACAAACGACTTAACGATTTCGGTTATTACATAAATGGCCTGGTTCTAATTATTTTTTTTTTTTTTTATAAATAATTTGAATTTTATTTAAAAAGTATCTTTGTAATTTTAAAAATTTTATTTGTAATTTTGAATATCGATTTAATTTTTTATATTTTTGTATTATTTATTTACTCATTTTTTAAAAATAATAAAAATGAAATTTTTTTTATTTTTACTATAAATTAAAAATTATCCTTCTGCTGCGCTTCATTTTTTCAATGGTTCTATCTTTCAAAAATGATGTCCAATCCCAATAAAAAAATTTTTAGAAAATTTATCCCACATCGGAGTTTTTTTTTGGAATAAAAACTATAAAAAATGATCATTTATCGGAGAAAATTTTTTTATAGAAAATATTTTTTATTACATAAATTTTTTAAAAAATAGCTGCAAGTTCCTGCAACTTAGTCATATGATCAAACTTAAAAAAGCGTCCCGTAAATCAAAACTACAATTGATTTTATCATTTTTAACAATAAATATTGTTAATGGTTTAATTGTTGTACAACGGGTGAATTAATCAGTCATCCCTCTCCCGCTTCTAACAATAGATTTTTATTTGTCATCACTGTTACATCCTTCTGCGTTTTCCAGTATCTGTGGGACTATTCATCACATGTAGTCGCACTGCGTTATTTTTTTTTCATGTCACGTGCTGGAACGTTTTGTGACGTATTTAATTAGTGAAACTTATTTTAAAAGCGTGTCTGCTCGGGAATATTAAAAATTAACAATGCAATGTGTAGAAAAGGAATTAATTCTTTAATAAACTATGTAAAAATAATAAGGAAAAAAATATCAACGAAAGAATATTAAAATGCAATGTGTAAGAGGTTTTTCTGTTATTTCGTAAGTAATAAAAGTAATAAAGTAATAGTAACGACTATTTAGAAGTGATGGTTGTTAAAACTTAAGAAAAATAACAAGGCAAAATCGAGGTACTATATTCATAATAAATGGCAACAAACAAAGTTTGTGCGTTAAAATTTCACATTATGACCGTTATCGTATTATGTATGGGATATGCAAATATATCGACAACATTGCATCTGATATTAAGTGTC